CCTGTGCCCCATTCACCTAACGATGAAATTCCTGTAAACCAGGTATGAGTCTGGTGTGATAGAAGTTTGGTGGGAAAGTGAGGAGGTGATTCAAAGTGATTGTAATAAAATATAAACACTTCATATCTGATGTGTTAGCTTGAATCTAGCCCTCTAAGACCACTGAACTGTTATCAGGTGCCACATATAAAACAAGTTTGGTCTTATTCTGTTTTTATAGTGAATAATCATCCACAATGCAGTTGAACTATCTGTTGTTTTAACAGAGAACAAGGATGGATTGGGCATAAAAAAAATAAATCATCTTTGGGAGGTGGGCTCTCCAGGGCAGAGTTGAGGCACGTGTAGGCGGTTATGTGGAGAAGCTTTCTCCATGTTGTATGTGTTCTGTAGATGTGACTTAAATGTCTGCCTGACATCCCTGGAACTATTTGATTATTAAATTGTCATCCTTTTTTTAGGAGAATCTGTGTGTAAAAGTACACAAGGGAGGAATGCTAGTGGACAACAACTTATTGTCATGCTGAGGGTAGAAATTTGGTGGCTGTAAAGTAGATCATTTCTTTCCAAAAGACTTAAAGAAATCAAATACATCTGCTACCCTCTTCATTAGCTCAGGAAGACTTGTAGAAGGTAGTGGGATACATATCCCATGCCAGTTCAAGTATGCAAATCCCGTACTGTGCCATATTTTAGTACCATCCATTAGAGGAATCACCATCTTCTGAGTTTAATACTTAACTACTTTTAAGTTCTTGTATAATGTTTATCACTATGCTAAAAGCAGTGTGGCCTGCATATGCTTATGTCTAGTGGGCCGTGTAGTGGTTAGGGCTACTCAATACAAAAAGGCATTGACAGACTGCAGGGGGAAACCAAAATAGAGTGTCAGGAAAAAGTTAAGTATTGGAAGTTTGACCTTAAGTGTGAACATGTGGAACTTGAGGATGGAGGGTGGATGACTGTTTTTAACTGTCCAGTAACAATTAATAGCTCAAAGGGGGAGGGAATATTTTAAGTGATTTATGTTAGTAAACTAAGGACTAACAGCCCTGCTACTGAAGAGGAAAAACAAGTTGTGAGATAAGAGCACATCTAACTTTGATCAGAAGTGGGGTTCAAAAGTAGATTGAGAATAGATGAGCCTTGTCTACAGAACAGTTAGACATGAAATGACTATGTGCACAAGTTTCTTCAGGAATAAATTCCAGTTATCCAAACACAACTGATCAGTAGCTCTTTAGAGCTGATCTTACAGTCAAACTTGGCATCGCTTTCTTTTAGAGCAAAAAGACAAGTAGGGCCAAGTTGAAAATGCATCCTAATGCAAAAAAGTCAAAGTTCTATGAAGAGTTGCATCTTACGTATTCTTTACTTGTTTCCAATCCTAGCTGAAGGTCAAAATGAAACCTAAACCCTGGTCAAAACGCTGGGAACGACCAAAATTTAACATTCAAGGAATCCACTTTGAACTACCTGAAGAAACGATGAAAGAAGCACAAAAGTGGAGCAAGCCCTGGATACAGTTTGATATGCTGCGAGAATACGATACTTCAAAATTAGAGAAGGAAATATGGAAAGAAGTGAATGAAGAGCTAAAAAAATGATACTGCTTTTATATGGTAGATTACTGAGGAGGGAGGCCACCTGAATTTTTTAATATACAATTCCTCAGTTGTGTAAGACTTGTGTACAATAAAGTTAATCTTTCAAAAAAGTAGTACATTTGTGTGTATACAGTGCAGTGGTTTTAACCTCCTTTAGTTCCCACTTTTGAGTGGGGGCAGTGAGTCCCATTGTCTTCAGTAAAATCTTGAGAAACTATCTTACCAAAGTACTATGTCTAGCCCCCTTTTCCAGGCATTCTCAGTATTTACGGTAACAAAACAGGTCTACACTGCTACACGTTTCATGTTACTCATTTGATGACAGGCCATAAGCGCCTCCCTGGATTCAGGTAGTATATGTTCTTTTGCAATTAACATATCCCTCCAGCCATGAAACTTTTTTTTAATCCATTTGTTAGCTGCCTCAACTAAGACTTTCTGGCAGTCGCTGCTTTGGTGGATTGACTTGTTTTCCAAATTCTGTCAAGACACATCTTGTGCTGTGATGGTTTTGTTGTCTATTGTCTAACTAACCACCACCACACACTTTCATTCCTTGCTTGTTTAAATACAGTAGGTGTATGTCTGACTAGTTGAGTGATATTGCTGAACAGGAAGGTAGGATTACATTTCAAAACTAAAAGTTAAGTAAGCCTTGAGTGAAAACACTGGGTACTAGGAGTGTGCCAACCAGGAAGGCTGTCCCTGCCCTCGAGCACATGGACCAAGACAGAGGGATAGAACATTTCACAAAATGATCAGAGTGGCAGTTGAGTTTAAATTTTTTGGTGTGTTGTTTAAACACCTAAAAGACAGATTCAGGCCCTTCATGCTTGAGATTGTAAAACATGCACATGACTCTGTGAGCCATTATTCACTCTTATCACTAGTTTACAAATTTGAAGTTGATTTGATTCTCCTCTTCCTGTTCCCCACCCACAGTTTACTAAACTCCTAACAATTATTCCCACTTAACATAGCAAAGCCTGCCCAAGTCCTCACCTTCCCTTTTTCTGTAAGGTATGAGGAGTTGTGTCCCTGCTCTCATTGATGAAATGGTATGTATCCTACTTGAGCTAGAAGGATCTACCACTAGTAGTTGCTGAGGGGGAAATGTTACACCTCTACCCTGATATAACGTGGGTTCGCATACAACGCGGTAAAGCTCCGACATGCTGCTTTGAGCAGCGTGTTAAAGGTGCCGGGCTGGGGCCAGGGGGTTGGATAAGGGGTAGAGAGTCTCGGGGTGGTCAGGGGCTCCCCTCCGGGATCTGGGAGGCAGGAGCTGTGGGAGGGGCACTTTTGGGGGCCCTGCAGTCCCAGAGTGGCCCAGAGGATTAGTGGGGGGCTAGGAGCAGCCCGCTCCGCTTCCCTTGCCACTCCGCCAGCTCCCAGTCATGGCGCTCTGCTTCCTGCCACAGGTGAGCACAGGGGGGCATCCTTTCCCCAACCTCCTCGCACTCACCAGCAGTGGGAAGCGGAGCACCGCAGCTGGGGCCACGTTGCTCCACTTCCTGCTGCTGCCGGTGAGTGCCTGTCAGGGGGTGTGGATAGGGGTCGGGGTCCTGGGGGTGATTAGGGACAGGAGTGTCTGGAGGGGGTGGTCAGGGGACAAGGAGCAGGGGGGCCAAAGCAAGTTCGATATAACGCGGTCTCACCTATAACGCAGTGAGATTTCTTGTCTCCCGAGGACCGTGTTATATCAGGATAGAGGTGTACTTTGAACAGTCTATGACATGCAAGACGCTGGAAGTATGGAAACTGAGAGATGTGGCCTGGGACTAGTCAAACTTTTCGATCTCTAAAGATTATATGTATGAGTCTGAGCTAGGAATTGTATGTTAGGTTTATCAGCAAGGTTACCAAGCTTCCCCCAAGAAAATTGGCTTGGGGGGGACCATAATTAGATCTCTGGACAAGTAAACAACTCCAAAGAAGTATTACCTGCTGAATTGCATGTACTGGTTCAGACTGGGTTCAAGAGGCCCAGCAAGCAAAGAGCTTTAAGAATAAAGGGTCAGACTCAACTGAGCCACATCCCTCTTTCTGATTTAAAAAAAAAAAAAAAAAACACCTGACAAAATTGTACCTAAGAGGACATGCCTCCTTTTCATATTGTACTGCCTTGCCTTTGGACAATAAATTTAGCTATGGTTGGTTATTGGGTCTCAATCATTTTTAAGAACAAACAATGAATGTAATCAAACTAGCTACACCTTTTAGTTAATACCACAGAGGGAGAGGAGGTGTAGTTAAATCTGCTGGTAGAAAGGATAAGACCACACAAACGCCTAGGTTACATTTGTTAAAAGGGAGGATGGAATGGAGTTTTAAACTTTTAACAGCAGCTATTTTACCCTTCTCCCATTGCAACTTGTAGGATAGGGCTGAGTTTACATTAGGCTTTCTGTATACTGGGAAATTGACAATTCTGAAAGTGCCACATGGCTGGCCAAAACCAGTGGGAAATGTAGGAGTCTGTTAAGTGGTTGAAAGCTTTGGTTTTGGTACAAAATACACTAAGTAGAAACTTAATATTTTTAGCATTGCAAAAATCTTGTACATTTTTAAAAGGCCATTTTAGTAACTACACATTAGCCTGTGGGCTCCCACAGCACTCTACAAAATACATGCACATACGCTTGTCACTTCAACTACACTTCAGGAGGAGCAGTGTTTTGGTGAAACAGTGCAGCTGTTTAACAGCTGTATTATTACGGGACAACTTACATAGCCAACAAACTTCAGGGAAAACTGAAGCATACAGAATTCAGTTACACAAATTGGAATTTATCCTGGCCATCACCATGAGTAAGTACCCCTTACTCTTGCCCTACATCTGATGGGCTCTTTAGCCCACCAACGGCCACCATCTTTTATATCATCCAAAATAGCACCTCCAACACCATCCAGGCACATAAAGTCAATAATGACATAGAAGGAATGTTACATGTAGTGCAATAGCATCTACATTATCAAGGGTCCATTGTGCTGGGTGCTGTACAAATACACAGGTGAACACTGCTCACTCCCTGAAGAACTCAGTCTAATTTGAGACAACATACCAACAAATATAGAGGGAAGGCAAGGTGCACAAATCACATGCTTATATTGATTAGCTATTGCCTAATTTCATAGTTCCTGCTGGTAAAAATCTAAATTTAAAAAAGTTATCAATTGCTGCACAATCTTGCCATCATTAGTAAGTTGATTTATTATAGTAATCACAGCAAAAGATGGTCTTGAAACAGTGTACTGCTTTGAAGAATCCTGCACATTCTAGAGATATGCTGCTTAAATCATGTTAGTATGGCAAATACAGTGAACACCCAGAATTGAAGTTAATTACTTGTTTAAATAAATATGAAATGAAATGCAAGACTAACAATTTTATTTTACAAAGTAAGCCCATATGTACAAGAGTTAAACAATCAAGATAAAAAATAGTATCTAGTCATTTACAATTGATATTCATTTATTTTACAAAAACACCCAGTTTTTAAAAAAATGTAAAAGCATGTCCACAGGGAAAAAAATCTACTATAAGAAAAACACAAATATATGTTAAATACCATTTGGGGAAATACAGATACAAATGACTGCATGAGAAGTTGTGCTATGCTCTGGATTTCTATAAACAATTCTCTTTCAATTCCATGGCAGAATGACTTTTGTTACATACATTCAAAATTCTCACTTTAAAACATACACAGAATATTTTAAAATAGACTGTATGATAGACGAGACTGTGTGTACATTGGGGGGAGCAAAAACAGCAATCAGCAAGACTCTCAGACACCAGTCAGATTTCTGAAAACGATGTGAAAAATTCACATTAAAATAATTTCTGAAGTTGCTACAATAAATGACTCATGCATCTCACTGCCAACAACTGAAGTGTGTATGATAATTAAAAAGAAACTTTGATGAAAAATAAGACCAGAGGTGAGCCCAGGCCCACAAACACTTGAGCACAATCCACATTAGCATCTGAATTATAAAAGACAACATACAGTGGATGCCATCCTTATATTGTGATGTTACAAGTGTTGTATTTGAACACTAGGTATAATATAGATAGGTGCCTGCTATCCCTAGCTTTCTATTTCAGCTGTCTCTGTTATTCTATTGCTATTATTCAGTTGAAATCCTGCAGGACTTATACTGACTAACTCTCCCACGGATCTCCATGAAGATGGTCACTGGGATCTCACCAGAGACGGGACCTGGTATTCTCCCTGAGATAGAGAGACAGTACACAATACTAGGCTCACAGTTCAAGACTGGAAATTCTACACAAGGCTGTTTACTTACAGTATACTGATTGTGTGACACTTTTTTCAGATCCTTTCACTATCCTTTAAGTAACACCTATTTATTTATTCCTAAAAGGAATAAAGCATTATCACCCCTGTGATAGGAACTAAAACACTGCTCCACTTTGAATTAAATCCAGAAAAAGCAAGGTCATTCAGGAATTAAGATTACCATTTCATCTTCAACTAACTTGATACCAACCAGTGCAACATGCATTGGACCAGATTTTGCATTCCTGGTGCACACCAAGTACCCTCCGTGGGAATTTTCGGTGCACAAGAAATGCAAAAATATAAGCCTATTACTTGCATGGCCTTTAAGTCCCATGAAATATCTAGGCTCAACAAGACAGAATAAAGTCAAAGGGCAGCCCTAACTCGTCAGTTGCATTGTTCAAGTGAAACCTTTAACAGTATTTTAGCTTGATTTTTATCTTGCTTTAAATCAAACCCAAAATGGCTACAGCATTTTTAATTTTATATTTTAGTCCTTTTGCTGGAATTCTACTTTCTGACAATAGATTTCAGGTGTTCCAGTTTATATTCCTCAATGAAATCCTCTGCAATATGCAAGGCGTTGACTTTCACCAACAGAAGAATCAGGTCTCTTGTTTCGTCACTAAAAAAATTAAAAAAAAAAAAGTACAATATTCAAGTGACTGACCTCCATATACTTTGAGTGTATTGATTTTTAAAATGCAGATAAGAAACTACACTGGAAATTAATGAAAATGATCCTGGGCTATGGTGATCAGTTATGTTGCCCACATTAAATTCCAGTGTCCAAAGGCTAGGCAGGAAAAGCTAACATAAATCTGTATCTTCCATTTCTATTAGATCACATTTTATAAATTTAAACTAATCTGATTAGATATTCCATATTTTAATAATTACATTCCTTATAAAAGCAAGCACTAATAAGACAGCTCAGAGTGTGCAAGATACAGAGAATCACAGCAGATATCCAACGCCTCCGTTAGCAACAACATTATGGGACTATTTCCCCAATTCTCTAGAAATAGACGGACCAGTGTTACAAGAACGATGTAATGTAGGACTTTACATGTCTGTATACTGTTACCAGTAAGTCCTACACATAAGTCACATAACCCTTTTCCATTATTCTTGTGTGTCCATTACAAGATTTTTAATTTGTTTTTGATTTACAATCCTTCCACACCTCTCAAATGGATATGCATGGAAAAGATCAAAATGTATACCGCTACAGGGGCCCTTTTACAGTGTACCATGTAAATATACAGACACAAAAAAGTTAATAAAACCTTAGAGAGACACAATACATGTAGAAATAATGAATTCCAAAAAAATGCCAGACAGATTACCTGCAGTTATTCTTGTACAGTGTATGTGCACTTTGCAACAAATGTTGGCTAAAGTTTGCTAACTGAGGGAGAGTTGATCTGCTTTTAAGCTCTTTGAACCATCTTTCTGGGAGACATGCAACTACCTGTTCAATCAAAACATATTTGGAAAAGATTAGACAATCCTTAAATGCATTAACTCACACTCTGCTTTAACTCCAACTTCTTATTTCCCCTTTAATTGGCTCCATTGTTGTAATTAATAAAAAGCTTTGTCAGATGCAGAGCCAGATATCATTTCAATGGAGTATTTTTATTCTTGGCATACTCAACAGCTTCAAGAGTTTATAGGCTGATGTTTGTTCTAAAGGTTTTTATGTTTCTGTGTAAGGAACATCAACAATTATACACAAATGACTGAGAACTTTTATCACAAACCTTTCTACACCTTCCATTTTGCTTCTGATGCTTCTTGAATGCATATATTAAAAAGATTGCCTAAAAACATATCAATTTTAATCTATGTTAGTATATAGGTCTGTTTGTTAGCCTGGGATAGAATTTTGGGTTTGACTTTTTGATACTCTTATACTAATATGTGTAAACAAAGGACAAAGACACTGGGATGTTGCTTCTGCCTAGTCAGATGGATTTGTTAGTACAATGGGAACAGATAAGAGCAGTTAAAGTGTTACTCAGAGCACTTAAAGATTGCCTCAACCCCTATCTCAAGGCAAAATCAAGCAACCAGTTGAGAGGGGCAAAAGGGTTTGGGGGTGGGGAAACGTATAAAACACTAAAAGACTAAAGAAATGCCTGTCCCTGACCAGAGCACAACCTCACTCTTTACCCCTCCCATGGGATACAAAAGAAGTGAGACGAAGACCCCAGACCCAAAATGGAACATGATCCTAAGTTGTAAGGGGTGGGACTATGGGCATGCATTGCAGGTATAATTATGCCTCCTGAGGAGGGGGGGACGAAACACTGTGGTGTCAGAGTTATGGAACACGCTTTTGCTGAAAACTAACCCCAATAAACATTGCATTGTCTACACTTCAGACTTCTGGTCTTCTGCTTTCTGTCTGCATGACAAGAACCAGGGGAGAGGGTGAAGGGAAAGCCCTCTAACAATCTAGCTGGCATAATACACCATTTGTTATTGCCAATTTGAACTCCTAACCTTTAGAGCACATTAGCATACATTAGCTTTGGGCAAAAACATTTGCTTGCATTAATCCCTCAGGTCAAGAAGTTAGAATCTGCCCAATTCCAAGAAGCCACCACCTTCTTCATCCTCAGTACCAAGAGATTCATTGATAAGTCATTTTGTGGCTAGAGATATACAACTCCAGCCATTGAATTTACATTAACAACCAGCATTATGAAAATACTTATTCTGGAGCCAAGGGATTAAATCATTAATTGCCAGTATCCTTTTTAGAAATTGTTTATTTTACCCTCCACTGTTTGTAACACTTGGAAGCAAAAAACCCAGGATTTTTATCCTCTGAAAGGTGTGAAGATCTACTTTGGAGTCAAACATTGGCATTTTCTGGATTTTTAACAAACCTAATGTGGCTTTTGTTTGCACAAATCTCTCTCTGCATTAGCATAATCTATTGCACCAAGAAAGCACACAACTTTGTGAGTAGTGGGCTTGAACCAGACTTGAAGGAATTCAACGGCGGTCTTTCCATTCTTCAATGGGCTCTGAAACATTACTAGCATGGTGTAGGTTAAATGGCTAATTATAGCTGGTGATCTAGGCGAGCATGAACAGCTCACACTTTATTTTATTTTGAACTGATAGATTTTTCAAAAAGATACTTAGAGTGAGATCTTGGCTCCAATGAAATCAATGGCTACTGATTTCAATGGGGCCAGGATTTCACCCTTAGGATCCAAAAAAGATATTTTCCATTGGACTGTAATAGCTTCCAAGTTTCCAAATTTTAGGCCTGAATATTTTGACTGTGCCTTTCTAAAATCATCAAGAGTTTGCAAAGTTACCTTAAAAGCTATAGATACTGAAAGTTTGTTACTTATTTTATCTTCAGACACTGATCTCTTTATCATGAAAACTCTTTCTTCAATATAAGCCTTTTTCCTGTATATAATTTTTACCTTGTTGCATTTTTCCACATTATCTGGTCCAGGTGGTGCATTAAGGAGTATCAGAAGGAGATATCGATTCAGCAGCTTGCCTAGTCCTAACTCATGTAGTGTATCTTCTAGTATGATCCCATCCCAAAGAAGAATATTGGACAGCAGCTGAAATGATAAAGAAGCTTAGAATGAGCACACTTGGTGATAGGAGGTAAACTTAAGTATAAAACCATAATGTAATACTTTGGTTACACGTTTTCATAGGACCGCATGCAGGCCCAAATTCCCACTTAGAATTTCCCTCAACTCAATCTTTTTAGATTAAAAAAATACGCTGATGTGTTTATTTGAACATGAGATCATTGGACTGCACACACACACACACACACACATCAGAATGTGCGCTTGGGGTATGGAGCCCCAGAAGTGCAATGCACTCAGCAGAGGGCAAGGACTTGGAAACTGACATGGGGCACAGCCCAAAGGCCACCAAATCTTGTTGGCCCTCTCAAGTGAAGCAAGTGATGAAAAGAGGAAATATGTAGGGCAAGAATGGTTGGCCAAGGTCTGGGGTGAGATGGGGAGGATCTGGCATTTGTGTAAATCGATGGATAAGTACATTCAAACGACAGCACATTTATAACCATTATTTCACAACCAATTATCTTTGAAGAGCACACATTCCTGAAACTAAAACAGGAGTCATCCAAAAAGCGGAAACTAGATCAAACTACAAAGGATAAATATAACAAAACAACAAAAGCACGTAGGCAGGCTAAGGCACAAAATGAGATTAAACTAGGCAGGGACATAAAGGGTAACAAAAAAATATTTTACAAATACATTAGAAGCAAGAGGAATACCAAGGACAGGGTAGGCCCATTACTCAATGAGGAGAGAAAGACAAATGCAGAAAATGCAGCAAAGGCAAATGTATTAAATGCCTTTTTGTTTCAGTTTTCACCAGAAAGGTTAGCAGTGATCGAATAACTAACATAGTGAACATCAGTGTAAATGGGGTAGAATCTGAGGCTAAAACAGGGAAAAAACAAGTTAAGATTTACTTAGACAAGTTAGAGGTCTTCAAGTCGGCAAAGCCTGACAAAATACATCTTAGAATACTTAAGGATTGGGCTGAGAAAATCTCTGAGCCATCAATGATTATCTTTGGGAACTCATGGAGGATGGGAGAGATCCCAGAGGACTGGGAAAGGGTAAATATAGTACCTATCTATAACAAGGGGAATCAGAACAACCCAGGAAATTATAGACCAGTCAGCTTAACTTTGGTACTTGGAAAGATAATGGAGCAAATAATCAAACAATTTGTAAGCACCTAGAAAATAATAAGGTGATAAGTAACAGTCAACATGGATTTTTTAAGGACAAACCATGTCATACCAACCTGATATTCTTCTTTAACAGGGTAAGAAGGCCTTGTGGATATGGGGAAAGCAATAGATGTGATATACCTCAAATTTAGTAAGGCTTTTGATACTGTCTCACATGACCTTCTTATAAACAAAGTAGGGAAATACAGCCTACATGAACCTACTATAATGGTGCATGCACAACTGGTTGGAAAACTGTACTCAGAGAGTAGTTATAAATGGTTCACAGTCAAACCAGAAGAGCATATTGAGTGTGGTCTTGCAGGGATCTGTCCTGGGTCTGGTTCTATTCAATATCTTCATAAATGATTTGAAAAATGACAGTGACATTTATAAAGTTTGCAGACGATACCAAGATGGGAGGGGTTGCAAATGTTTAGGAGGACAGGATTAGAATTCAAAATTATAAAATCATAGAAGATTAGGGTTGGAAGAGACCTCAGGAGGCCATCTAGTCCAACCCCCTGCTCAAAGTAGGACCAACACCAATGATCTTGACAAACTGGAGAAATGGTCTGAAATAAATAGGATTAAATTCAATAAGGACAAATGCAAAGTACTCCACTTAAGAAGGAATAATCAATTGCACAAATACAAAATGGGAAAGGATTGCCTAGAAAAAGGATCTGGGGGCTATAGTGGATCACAAACAAAATATGACTCAACAATGAAATACTGCTGCAAAAAAAGCAAACATCGTTCTGGGACTTTTTAGCAGGAGTACTGAAACCAAGACATGAGAAGTAATTCTTCTACTGTACTCAGCACTGATAAAGCCTCAACTAGAGTCAGTTCTGGGCACCACTCTTTGGGAAAGATGTGGACAAACTGGAGAAAGTCCAGAAGAGAGCAACAAAAATGACTGAAGGTCTAGAAAACATGACCTATGAGGAAATTGAAAAAAATGAGTTTGTTTAGTCGGGAGAAGAGAAGACCAAGGGGGAACATGTTAACAGTCTTCATGTACATAAAAGGTTGTTATAAAGAAAAGGGTGGTAAATTGTTCTTCTTAACCACTGAGGACAGGACCAGAAGTAATGGACTTAAATTGCAGCAAGGGAGATTTAGGTTAGACATTAGGAAAAACTTCCTAAGTGTAAACGTAGTTAAGCACTAAAACAAGTTATCTTGTGGAATCTCCGGAGTTTTTTAAGAACAGGTTAGACAAACACATGTCAGGGATGGTCTACTTTAGAAATAGTACTTAATCCTGTCTTAGTTCAGGGAACTGGACTAGATGATCTATAAAGTCCCTTCCAATCCTACATTTCTATGATTTCTATTATTTCTCATTGAGAACTACGTATATACTTCCCAGTACAATGCACTATCCCCAGGATATCAAACTTCCCTGAATATGCATTTCTTGGTTGAGATCAAGCATGAAATATTTTAGCCCAAATGATTTTTCAGGGAGAAATTAGGTACCTCTTGCTTACCTTTACAGCTGACCAAAACTGTCTTTCTTGGAACTTTGATTGTGGCGATATTCTGTCTTCCACAGCGCTGGTCATGGAAAGTGTAACAGGAAATTGGTAAAATAACATTTTCATGGTTTTTGTTTAGAAAAAAATATCCAGCCAATTGATCTCTTCTGTATACTGATGGATGTTAATTTCAGTTCTCAATCAATAAAGAGGGCCATAACCATAAAATATGTAACAGAGCTGAGACCTAACTTTAAATTTGGAACCCATCACTAGTCTCTTGATAGTCCCTACTAAAAGTAGCAATTGGAAACACTTAACCACACTTATCAGACTGACACAGCACTGTACAGAGCCAGACACTCTGCAAACTTCCTATATCAGCTTTAGCAATGCATTTTCCCCAACATTATCCTAGTTTTCAATCCTGTGTCTCTCCTAAAAAGAGGGATTTCCATTAATTCCAAATTGTGAAATATACAGAATATAGTGATAAACAAATCCAATAAAGCAAACCGGATTAAGCAAATTCAAAAAACAGCTAGGTATTTTTCTTCACAGTGAAAAGACTGAAGGGAAACAGTAACAATTTGTGAATGTGAGGAGGAGATGAATCAAAGGGGAAATACAGGCCAGCTGGGCCAAAGCATCCTTTTAACAAATCACCAATTAATACAAAGGGCCAGACTGAGGAGCTCTTACATTGTGGAGCACTTACTCACAGGAGTAGTCCCACTGATTTCAATTCCTCTAATAAACAAGACTGCTTCCGAGAGCTACTATTCACGAGCTTGAGTAAGGGCTTCCCAACTTGACTCATAATGACGTAGCAGACATTGGGAATTGTAGCTATTACACGAAGTTTTCCTGAAACCTTCCATTCCATTAGTTTCCAATTCATGTTGACTGTATATTAAACTGGGACCTCGCTTCCAATGAAGTGTTGGTATTTTACAGAATTAGCCTTACCTTTTAGGATACAGAGGAATAAAGACATCTTCCTCTATCGACTTCTTCATTCTTGAAACAATTGAGTTTACCAGATCCTATTAAAAAATTGGAGATTTATCATTGACATACCAATATCTCCCCATGAAAACATGTAAATGATAGCTGATATATTGTAAGATATAATTTTAAAGTCAGCATTTCCCTTTAGATGAATGTGATACATTTATTTTAGACTAAAACAGTTGCCACCCGTTTTATATATATTTTCTTAGCTATGGTTATCAGCTGGTTGCAATTTTAACTGACCCTACCACGCTCTTTGACCATTTGTCATTGTGGTGTTTTAATTTTAAATTTTCCCCAAATGATGCCATTTGCTGCATGTTACTTTACTAGCAAAATTATTATACATAGTCTATAACTAGAAGTAGAAGGCAGGGGTAAATCACTCCATAACTGTCCTATTCTGTACACCTCCCATGACGCTTTGGTATTGGCCACTGTCAGAGACAGATAATGGGCAAGATGGACTATGGTCTGACCCAGTATGGCCATTCTTATGTTCTTATAACTACAAAACGAAACTGGTGGTTAAACAATAGATTCATCACATAGAAGAACTGAAAAATTCTACATAACTAATTGTGTCATAAGCAATACCACAGACAGTTACTTTTTCTATCCAAAGGTCTAAGAGCTTTACACAATGTCTCTACACTTTTATCAAATTAAAATGTGGGTAATTTTTAGTTTTATTTTTCTGACTTTAGCCAAGACATCAAAAATATGCTGAAAAGGTATTACTGAATTTGATTTCCCCAGTTTCAAAGCAGTGATCTGGTTGACAGGTAGACACATGGGTTTTCATATTCGAGATCTGATTTTCTACTCAATTTCACCAATTTTATGATGGTGAAATTCCTTGGATTTACATAGGAATGAAACTAGCATACTGGAGTAGAGAATCATGAACTCAAAGTGCACAATTATAAAATGCTTAATTAACATTATAGAGATCTTTTTCACTGGTGGAATGATTATCCATTTTTTTATAAATTAAAATCCTTCTAGAAAGGAAGCCACTTAGTGAAACTTAAACAGGCCTGCATTTTTTTTGAAGCTTTTCTTTAGCTCTGGTGTAGTTCTAAACCAGTGAAAAAGATTTGAGCTCTGAAGCATCCTTAAGATTTTAAACAGTTAAAAGTTGTGCATTTAGTTCTTTTAAAAAAAAAATCAAATGCAAAGTTATAAGTTCTTGAAGATTCATCTTCACAGAGGAGCAAAAAGATTACAATTATGACAAGCCTCTTGCTAACAGTAGTCATGATTTTTCTAGTAGCAAGAGCCAATTTCTGGCCAAAGATATACACATCTCCCACAGACTAAAAGGGAGCTGCATTTGCACATCTGAGAGCAGAACAATTTTAGCTTCAAATTTTTGCTTATTACAGGCAACCTGCAAAGGTTAATCAAATACCACAACTTTAGAATTATATGATGAATGCATACAGCAAGGGTAGGAAGAGTATATAATCTATCAATGTCTTTAAAATATACCATTTTCTTCTGGTCTCTAACAGCACAATGGTTTTTACCTGTTTTGCTTTACTGGATTCATTTTTGGAAAGGGAATGTTCTTCAAAGATATTTTTGCAGAGTTGAACTAGACTGACTGTTTGTGAAGTTGACAAAGGATCCCACACATGCTCTACAAAGCCTGAAAAAACATTATTTCAGAAATGATGTACAAGTAGTTACTTGCTTGTTTTAAAATGTCACTCTAAACAGGAGATAAACTTAATTTGCATACAAGTGTCCACCACGCAAAAGATAACAATGTTACTTCATTCTTCATCTTTACAATAAGCATAAGCAGATTTTTTCATTAGATGCTCTCGTGCTTTGTAATACATAAGCAAACCCAGTCTTTCTACCTGTCTAATGCCACATTTCTTCCTCCTTTATAGTCTGTTTCCATGACAGCAACATCTTTCTAATGGTTCTCTTATGTATCATCTGTTGTCCTCCTCTTTTCTATCTTCCATCAGGTGGTATACAATCAAAGGCTTATCTAAGAATAGAGTTTTTTGACATCCATATGACACACTCAGACCAGCCTTCTTTCTCAAATCATTGTCTCTACAGTCTGCTGAGCAGTCTTCTGTAATACATTAGCGTTGGTTAGTTTACCCCAGTGGTTTTCAAACTTTTGTATTACTGACCCCTTTCACACAGCAAGCCTCTGAGTGAGACCTCCCCTTCTAAATTAAAAAGATTTTTTTTATATTTAAACACCATTATAAATGATGGAGGTGAAGTGGGTTTAGGGTGGAGGCTGACACCTTGCTTGTGACCCCCACATAATAACCTTGTGACCCCCTGAGGGGTCACGACTCCAAGTTTGAGAACTCCTGGTTTATCCCATCGGCGGACACTAAGTATTCTTTGCAAGCATCTCTGATAGAATGCATTAAGTTTCCTGTTGTTGGTTTCTAGCATTTGCCAAGTTTCAGAAGCATATAACAATGTGGATATTACAATGGCATTGTATAACTTTATCTTGGTTCTTGCATGAATCTCCTTATTTTTCCAGATATTTGCCAGTCTTGAAAAGGTTCCACTTGCTTCCCAATTCTTGCTTCTACCTCCTTACAGAGCTGGCCATCAGCAATCATTGTGCTTCCAAGATATACCAACTAGTTATCCATGCTGTAGCTTCACTATTGATCACATATGCATTATCATTGCTTTCAATGATCATGACGTTCTTGTTCTTTTGGTCAATTCTTAATCCTACTTTGGCAGCCTCACATTTGACATTGGTCGTGATCTTTTTCAGAGCATCATCGTGTGTGTCCAATAGAACAATGTCATCTGCACAGTCGATCTTGAGGTTTTCTTTTACTTCATATAATTGCTGTATCTTCCTTTGATGTTGCTTTTCGCATCAAGTAATTATCACGATTTTCAGATCACACCTTCTCCCAAACTATATTACAAAGTTTATGTATTTCACGAACTACACCTCCTCCCCAGCTTTAAGCATTTCAGCAGTGATTTTATCTTGACCAGGCACTTTCACATTTTTTAGCTGCTTAACTGCCTCCTCTATTTCTGCTTCTGAAATTTCTAGCAGTGAGATATTTAATTCTTCACCTTTGTCACATCCATCCATTAGAATTGTTGGCTGTGGTTGGTTGAGTACTTCCTTAAAATGTTCTCACCATCGTTCTGTTTCCACTGTTAACTATCTTCCATCTTTCACATTTACAATAACACTGTGACTCTGGAACCATGATAATTGCTTATACATACAGACCAGTTTCTCAGTTTCGTCTCTCACTGATGTACCTTCAGCTTCTCTAACATTTTTGTCAAGCCATTCTCTTACCTTTTCATCACAACTTCTTTACTTATCTTTCTCTACATACGCCCATTGCAGTGTGCATTGTTTTTCACGTGTCACCTGTGCTTGCCTCTTTTTAAAGGTTTTCTTTCTTCAATCAATTTCCATGTGCCTGAATGTATCCACTCTTCTTTCCTTGATCTCCTTGGAGCAAATGAAGTTGTGGAAGCTTCCTGACAGACATTTCTAAAGTGAGCCCATTGTTACTCTATATCATCATTTATTACCCACAGCTCTTGGAATCTGCTTGAGAGCTAGATTTTAAAATCCCTCCTGATTCCCAGGTCGGATAGTTCCTTCACACTGAATTCCATCTCTCTTTTCTGATTAGCTTGTCTTTTTAGCTTTATTCTAACTGTTCCAGTGACAAGATAGTGGTCATTTCCTACATCAGTACTTGTAAGAGATTATGTATCCAGCACTTATCTTCTCCACCATCTGCTGATGACAATGTGATTCAATTGTTTCTTGATAATTCCACCATTTGACATCCATATTAGTTTTTGTTTCCTAGATGAGGGAAAAGTGTCCCTCTAATGTACAAGTTATACATACTACACAGCTTAGTAAATCACCATTGTCCGCCCACCCCTCACTTCTGTATTTACTCATGCAATGCTCATATCTGAGGTTGTTGGGTTCGTGTCATCCATAACGAGAATGACATCATAAGTGTGGACCTGGTTTAATACATCCTTCAACTTACTATGCAATGCATCTTTTACTTGTTCATCATGTTCATTGGTAGGTGTATTAACACCGGATGATAGTTACTTTAGCATGATTTGTAACCAAACATGCTCTTATAAGTCGTAAGTTAACTTGTCCCCATTCCTGTAGAGCTTATGTTGCTTTTCTGTAGAGGAATACTCCAACTCCCTCTACGAGAGTATCATTTTGCTTTCCTGAATAGGGTGCTGTGATACCATCTGAATGGAGTTCTTCCACCTCCAGTCCATCTCATTTCACTCATTCCAAGAATACTAATCTTGAATTCGGTCATTTCTCCAACTACTTGACTCAGTCACCCACATGGTTCTCACATTCTAGCACCCGATTCTAGTTTTAGTTTTAGAACATAAGAATGGCCATACTGGGTGAGGCCAATGGTCCATCTAACCCAATATCTTGTCTTCCGACAGTAGCCAATGGCAGGCGCTGTGAGGATCTCTGGTTTCAGGCAATGAATTCCCTCGTGGGTTTGGTCCAACCCCTTCATACCTCCATTCAAACTTATCTGTTGTAGACTCTGATTTCAAGAGGCTAATTGAGACAGAGAGGCTGGTCAATTGAGACATTCTTTTTATCAAGGTTGTTTCCATAACTGGGACTTAAAAATAAATAAATACAAGGACAGAAAGTTGGTCTGACTCACAACCATAGATCCATGGCTCCTCATTCAATATATATTTGGAGCAACCTATATTATGCCTGACATTCCCTCATCCACCACATGAGGGATGCTCTGTGTAGCTTCGGATGCCCCAGACAGCAGAAATGTCCTTAGTAGTAATTCATTCTTTATGTAGACTAGTAATTACATACAAATCTTTATATACCCATACACATAATGGAGCTACTTGTCTGAAGAATCGGTATATTCAGTGAATATAAAGTACATTTTGCAAGTGAGTTCTGCTAATTTTGCATATACTTATACATTAATAGGTCTACTTCAAAAATGTACATTTATTTCCCTGTATGGTTCTGACAGACAAATACTTCCTTCACAGTTACGTACATGGTACCTAGATGCTATGATGAGGGGCCATAAGAAGCATATAGACAAACCAAGAATACATTGTGAAATCAATGTCATTTATGATTAATTCAAGAGGTGATCTGCAGTAACATACAACTTTCTACTGACTTTAGGAGTCAAATTTAAATAATTCAGAATACCTTATTTATTTATAGATGTAATAGACCCTTACCAAATATTATGTAAAAAATATGAAGGGTCTCAAGAACTAGCTGCTTAAATTAGAAGAGGAAAATATTTGATATAGCACTTCATTTTAACTTAGCTACGGAAGGCAGTGAGAATAAAACATACAAAAATGGTTCTAGAAAGCAGTCATATCTGCTTAGATTGATTAGGCTCCCTATTTGATATCAAACTGCCTGCTTTTATGAACAGTGTAACACAACATCCTTGGGTGAGTCACTGGTGGCAGGAAGGGACATCCAAATCTTAAAGCATAAGCCTTTACCTTCCTGAACTAAGAGACCCAAGTTGGTTAGCCAGAGCTTTAGTAGGCTCATCAACCTCCATCTGTGGCCCAGTCACCACCAGAAAGTGACAGAGTGCCACACTAAATGTGTGTGGGTTACAATAGCTATGATGTTTGTTTTCATATGGAAAACCCCTTTTCCTTTCCACTCTTCTCCAAGAAATCTACTGTTTGAATGACAAGCTCCCTACTTATAGTGTGCTTGACACCACAGCCCCTTGGCCTCATCCTGAAGAGCTATATAACAGCTTATGTGCTGCAACAAGGAATCTAGCTTTACCATTGTTAGTAACTAAATAATATTGGTTAAATTGAACAAGGCTAAAATTTTAATTGTCTAACTATAGTTAATGCTATTGAGGCAGTCTTAACATACCTGTAATTTTAGGAAGAATAGTTTTCTCGGTGATTGTAGGCAAAATTGTTTGATCAGGGTCATCATTTCTCTTGGATTGTGGCATATTTTTGGCATCGCTAAATTCTTCTATCGCTCTGAACCAGGGCATCTCATTCAGATCTATGGAATTCTGCTTAAGAAAAATAATCAATGAGAGGCATCAGGCCACTGAGGACTCACACAAGATATTTTTGTCAAAGTATTTTCACTAATGGATTTCCCAATGACAATTCTCTCCCAGGACAACAGGCAAAATACAAAAAATGATCTTTCACTTTATGAAGGAAAGCCAAGAACTATCTGAACAACTGAGTAAGACCAAAAAGATAGATCAAAAAGATGCTGGCTGCAAAGGCAGAAAGTGCAATGGCTAAGCAAGAAGACTAGGAAGAAAATTAGGATTAAAACGTTGAATTCTTTGTAGATCACAATGCCTGTTATCATCTAAGTCTGGCTTCCTGTATACCGAGGGCATAGAACTTTTCCAAAAATAATTGCTAGGGCATATCTTTTAGGAAAACATCCAATCTTGATTTTAAAACTGCCAGTGATAGGGACCCCTTGGTAAATTGTTCCAATGGTTAATTACTCTCACTGTTAAAAATTACCTCATTTGAATTTGTCTAGCTTCAACTTCCAGCCATTGGATTGTGCTATACCTTTCTCTACTAAATTGAAGAGCCCATTATCAAATATTTGTTTTGCATGTAGATATTTACAGACTGTAACCAACTCACCCCTTAACCTTTTCTTTGTTAAGCTAAATAAATTGAGATCCTTGAGCCTATCACTATAAGGCATGTCTTGAACCCTCTCCAGTTTATCAACATCCTTCTTGAAATGTGGGCACCAACACTGGATACAGTATTCCAGCAATGGTCGCACCAGTGCCAAATACGGAGGTAAAATAACCACTCTGCTCCCGCTCAAGATTCCCCTTGATACACTTAAGTATTGCATTAGCCCTTTTGGCCACAGCATTGCATTGGGAGCTCATGTTCAGCTGATTATCCACCATGACTCCCCAATTTTTTTTCAGAGTGTCTGCTTCCCACGATAGAGTCCCCCATCCTGTAAGTATTATTTTATTTTTATTTCCAGGTTTTTGATAATGTCAAATAGTGTAGGGCCCAGAAGTGATCCCTACTGCACCCCACTAAAAACACACCTGCTTGATGATTTCCCATTTGCAATTACATTTTGAGATCTATTAGTTTTTAATCGATGTAATGTGTATAATCTTAATTTTATACTGTTCTTGTTTTGCACTCAAAAATGTCATGTGATAACAAGTCACACACTTTACAGAAGTCTAAGTATATTACAACAACACTATTACCTTTATCAATCAAATCTGTGATCTTATTTTAAAAAAAATCAGATTAGTTTGATAGGATAAAATGGGTCTCAAGGAGTTCTATGGGAGTTAGGTCTTTTTTGAAAATCCCTGCCAGACTTTTCAAATATGAGGGTAACACAATACATCTTTACTGATTTTTTAACGTACCCATTGTAAGGCATCTGGGGGCATGACAGAGAAAGCATTACAGTACCATTCCACACCTTTAACTCTATTTTATTATAACAACATATACCAAAATGATTCACACTCAAACCATATTTAACCTAACTCTTGCACTGTTCATTGACACCTGTAAACTCATGTTCTGGCAGACCTCCAGAGACAAAAAATTCCAGTTGGAAACCCTTCATCACAAACACTCAGATTCCAGTCGCCAGGTACAAGTCTGTTGAACTGCCATTAGATGCATTGCACTCCACAGATAACAGCTATTGAAAGTGATGCCTAGGGATAAAGACAGGTCCCTAAGATAATGAGGCCCCTTATAACATAGGGCTTTACAGACTAGAACTAACCCTGAATTGCACAGAGAAGCAGATGGAATGCTAGCGCAGTATGTGTATAATAAAGTACAGTGTGCCAATTGATAAAGTGAAAAAATTTACTAGTGAACATACCTCAAGAGGATTCCAGCCTATTAACTGAATTCTGATTAATGGGCTTAAAAGTTTAGGCAGGCATAAACTAATGTAAGCATCATAATAAGAGTCAGGAAACTTCTGTCTCCATTGATGAAATTTCAACAGGATATTCCCGATGTTGCAAAAATCTGCATGCACATCTTCACAGATTTTCTTACTCGCCTGTAAGATGTCATCTGTGGATAAAATATATTTGTATATAGAGAAATATTACTAAAAATATTTATGGCTGCACAAACTAAAACAGAATATGCATAGACAGCACACATGGAGGATGTATCCATGTGATAAACTGCTTTTTTCATGAACCTTTGACACTTCCTCTTCTCTGTCTCTGATAGAATTTATTCTAATATTCCAACTCCCTGAGAAGCTTCTAACAGTTGATCTTTATTTTTAAATTCTCCCCCCAAAAGATATGGACCTCCTCCACCACTCAAAAAAAAAAATTATATTGGCACAAAACTCAGGACAGACAAGGTTCAGTCTTGAAGTAGCAGCAGGTTTAAATGATCAATATCTTGCAAGCTCTATCCCAAAAAGCAATAGGGAGATAGAGCTACAGATATTCAGTGCAGGATTTGCTTCTAATCTTAGAAGGAATCAAAATTTCAGACTTTAAAACCACGATGTGATTATCCATTGGAAACTATTTTAGAAGCACTGTAAGTAAGTTACTTATATTTTTCCTCTCCCTCTGAACTCTGTGCATCTATACTCAAGGTGATTAGAGAAGCCTGCTTTTAACCATAGGAAAAAAAAACAAAAAATAGTCTCTAAAGAGCTGAAAAAAATTTCTTTAAAAATAAGCGGCATACAAAATACATGGTAGTGTGGCATCAGGTTTTGTCAGAATTCTTTGGGGGATAACCTGTATAATTCACTTATGGCTTCACTGTGTGCAAGTCATGTGGCCATCCCAAAAACTCATGCTAACAAAACCAATATACCACAGCACACCATTATGTGTTCTCCATATTCCCACTAACAAAAAAAATTATTAACTTAAGAATCAAAGTTGCTCCAGTGTATTTCCTCACTATAAGTGCATAGTTTTCAATTCAGGTGTAGTCTTTTTTTTTTTTCAAAAGCAACTTATCTTTATCTTAGAAATATGGAAGGACTTTGTTCATTACAAGGCAGTCATTGACCTTTGTTTTTCTGGAAATCAGTCATCTCTGCTGCAGACAGCTCATCATCACTGGACATGCCCTCATGGTGATCAGATTTCCCAAAACTCTCTCTTGCTTGCCTTCTGCATGTCCTATATTTTGTAATGAACTCACATTAGAGACCCTTCAGCAAATCTATATCTAAGAGAGAAAACTTTTATGAAGGCAGATTATTTTACAATAAAAGTGAAGAGAGAAAAGAGTATGCAAAAGGAAATATAATCAGCACTGACCAACAGAGCAAAAACAGCTATTTTGTAATAAAGTAGAGCTAAAAGGAAGTGGAAAACTTGTGTAAAATGGTTTTGGAAACTGGGATTAAAAATATCAGAACACTTATCATTGGGGATGTGTGTGCCCAGTAGGACCTTAACCTTTCCTCCATTAGTTTCTACCCCCATTTCAGTCCCAGCTTTCCCGACATCTCCCACCCCACCTTCAATATTGAACTTCAGGTTCAGTTCTCTCTGTGCTGGACCATGATACAGTATTTCTTTTAATTGAGAGCTCTGGTGCATAATGAGGTCTGGCACCATAAATCGCAGAGCCCATAAGACCTAGAATTGGAGCACCCAAGACTTCATTGTGCAACAGACCACGTAAAAATTCAGAGATGTAGTTGAGTTCCAATTTAACTATAAACATAGAAAGGGGTCACATGAGGCTGCAGATTCCAGAACCCATATATCTGCTTCTGGAAAATGCTCAGTTGTTTACATGAAAATAAATCTTTTACATCAATGTAATACTTTTACTTCTCACTTAACTGTTCTAAATATTTAGTACAGTAAGAAGCTTAATTTAGGTATTTTTCATCTATTTTAATTCCAAAGACAATGCCTCTTCAATGTGCACTAGACTCAATTCATTACCTTATTTTATTGCACTTCAGTATAAAACAAATTTCTTTTGCTCATTTTACATGCTTTCAAATACTTGCTAATAATTTATTGTTTTTTAAACAGAAAGATCTTCTACAATGATAGTAGTCTAGGATCTAACATTAGATCAAGAAAATTTCTTATGAGCTGAGGGGAAAAGCTACTGATTGAACGAGATGATTTAACAGGTCATTTTCATCTCCAGTTTGTGTGATTCTGTGATCCTCAACCTATTGGTATCATGGTGCTTTTTGACAGCATTTTGGTTGCCCACACAATGATCTAAAGTTTGTTTCTACACAAGTTCACAACACTGATAATGAATAGTAGCTTTTCCCATCATCTCACAAGAAATTTTCTTAATACCAATGCATTAGGTTCTCTGGTGAGAACAAAACCATTGATGCTCAGATCCCAAGCAACATGAGAGTGAAGATCATTAAGAAGTAACGTGAAAGTGTACTCCAAATAGTCCCATTCTAAGTTTTGGAAGGCAAATTAGTTAGTATTCCTTTTGGTAATAAATTAGACAGAATCCAAGAAAAATGTTAAATAAAAGCTTCCCGGTTAGAAATCCTGCATATTTACATTCACCACTGCATGAAAAATAGAACGTTACTCTAACAATATGTGATCATCAAAGTTATATGGATTTATGTTTTATAATTACCTTCGAGCCACACACTCTTCCAGGAGCTGCTTTGTTTTTTCATCATCTTCCAAGCTGTCATCAGTTGACTTGCCATTCTTTCCTATGAATAGAAATAGTTGTATAACAACATCCGCTAGTTTGAAATTTCCATTTTCTTGAATACAAAATATTTTTGTCCATACTCATTTTTTCCCCTCTACAGTTTATTATTTTAGAAATGGCATGAAAACACTTTATCAGTAACCTCTGCAATGTTAAAGCAGAATAATATTACACTTGTATGGACTGTGTAACAATCGGATATGCCAGTTTCTTGATATAACACAGTATGAGGTCAGAGTGTGAGTGATGAAGTTATTGCTTTTTGGTATCTGTTGGAGATGGAACTGAATGTCTTATGGAACACACTATTGACAGTGCTGAAGGTGACAATGAATGCTAGAGACTTCTCTCAGTTTGTAAGTCAAAACTGAAACTAGGCAACAATTTTATTCCAATTCAAGAAGTTATTCTAACCTTAAGTATTATGAATAATTACTATCTGGTTTGGAACCTAGATCTAGTGATAAAGAACAGCACCAGACTAGTCCTCCACTAGTGCTGCCTTCTGTTGCTGTTGAGTGGTCACTGTGTCTGTGTCCACCAATATCAATTGTTCCTTTTCTCATCTCCTTTTAAGCTAGTAGAGAATAGCCTGATTGGGCTGGAAAGCATCTTACACTTGGGCTACTCACTTGTATCTTGATCTGCATACACACACACACACACACACACACACTCACTCTTCCCTCCCCTCAACTTCTGTTGAGGAAGTGCAAAAGCTTCAGTTGCTGAAAATTTATTTTTAAAAAGTCATACTAACTTGATAGCAGCTGAACATAAGCAGATTCATTTTTCAGATCCTCTTGCCTACGTTTCAAGAGAGTTATGGCTTGTTGTTGAAGTAGCATCTGCATAGCTGACTCCAGTTCATTAATATGAAGTAGCTGAAATATATTCAATAGATATTACATTTTCAGTTAACTGCTAGAATTACAAAAGAAAAGCTGAAAGCAAAAATGTGCAAAAGCCGAAGTAGTTTCCCCAATTATTTTTATACGTAACAATGATGAATAACTATATACATTATTTTTTCCAGTTTGAGTAATAAGTTCCTATTCCTTGTGATTAGACCTTTCAGGCTCAGTTCATGATAAGCTGAGAAGTACCAGCTATTGAGATGTGTGAAGGAATAAACAGAATACTTAGAATGGCAGGTAATGTGTTCAGTTTGCAAGTAAAAAGATGCTTTTTTCTAACTGCTGCCCTTACAAGCTCAATAGGGACTCTGGTAATCAAGCTGCTGTCTTCCATGCATTTCACACATCATTACCAGTAATAAAATTTCAGTAGGACAAAATTTCACCCTCAGTTATACCTGTATTACACCTCACTGTCTTCAAATTAGGCTATCAGACACCTTTGCAATCTCAATGCCTCCAGTAGGCTTACACGGGAGTAACTGCCTGGAACTTAGTAAGCAATTTTGTTCATGATGAACAAGATGGAATAGATACCAAATTAATCTTAGCTATGTTGGGCTTTGCAGGGATAGAAGGAATAAAAGCAGTAAAATCTTATTTTTGTCATTTAAGTAAACATGACGACTTAGAACATCCATCCACCAGGAACTAAGGTGAAGTAAGGTTCCATTAACACAGTCACTTTTCAGGGTAAAAATTATACAGAACATGGATACCCCTATTTGAATCACCCCTACTAGAGACCTTGAAATCCATTGGCTTTCACAAATCCATCCTAGCATGTTTAAAAAAGTGTGGCTCACCTGGTTCATTTCAGGTGAGCTTTACAGGCCCAAGTTACACGCTGAGCTAATTAAAAATCATCAGTGGTCTAAAGTAACTCAGCTGTTCCAGTACTAGGAAGATAGAGAATTATCCTCCGATCAAGAGAAATTAGAGAATTCTCTCATCCAAAAGGTTTCAGCAAAACTGTTGTTGGAGCTTTTAATTCACATGGCCTCACTTTCCTTTTACAGTTTACTTCATCATTTGAAATAAAGTTGTGAAATGGACAAATATTTTTTTTTTTTTTTGACATTTAAGATTTTGGACTGAATACCATGCTCATTTTAATGAGCAACCAGCAGTTATTCTCCCTCTTTCTGATATTTAAATAGAGGTTTCAAAGGTAGCACCTAAGCTCTAAATACAGTAATGCAGACCACATAGCCGTATCCACCCAAGACACAATGGCAGTGTATTCTTTGCCTCACCCAGATTGTAAGAAGCTTTGCTTGCCATCCCCCTCCTTTTAAATGCACATGGTGGTTATGATGGGAAGGCTACAGCAAATAGGTGTGCTTCAGCTAGTTAGATATACCACAGACAGGTGGTGTAAAAGAATTCCCCCCCAGTTCTGCTAATCCATCTCAATCTAAACTTGAAACCCTCACCCCCTCCATTCTATAATATTGAGTACATTCCTATGGAAGTTTTAAGATGCACACAACTGAGATTTAGGTGAGACCTTCAACTTAATTTTCAATTTTTACCTAAAACGGCATGATCTATAACTCTAATGTGTGTGTCCACATATCCTTATTCTAGTCCAATATTTTTATTTTGAAAAAATCTGGTTATTGGCAGAACAATACAAGATCTAAAATTATACTCAAGCCATCTGTCAAATACCAAAACTGCCCAATATAGTGATGACACAGGAAGAGAATATTTAAAAGGGTTAAAAAAAAAAAAAAAAAGTAGTTTTAGGGTATTATGTTAACAGCAAATTCCCTCTGACAATACTTGGATTTTACAATCACCACCGTAGTTTTACTATTCCCCCCACAAAGAAGACGAATTGAAATAAGAAAATTAAGTATTTTCTTTAGTCTCGTTAAACAATCTTAAGCATTACATAAAAGATAGCCTTTTGACAGAATTGCTTTTAAATTTATGATGTCCCTTTAATATTGTTTCCCCATACTTGGTGGAAACAAAATGTTAACTTCTAGAGGAAGGTGACTATTCTATTGGCTGAATATCACAAACCTCATCTCATCCCCTTAAAAAAAAAAGTTGGTACCTTTTCATTCAAACAGTCTATAAGGCTTTCCATGTAAGTTTTCATAGCCCTGTAGAATTTGTAATTCAGAGCTGCATTTGAAGACCTTTCTAACTCCTGGATGGTACTCTTTGAGCTTTCAATGTCCTGTGTATACTTTTCGTGCTCCCTCTGGTGAGCACGATGAAGGTCCTGTAATGATGTTATTCTGAAAAAACCCAAACATTTGTAAACAACTTAACAAAAACTGCTTGCAAACAACTTAAGCCACCTTAAGTTTTTTTCAATCATTTTGTCATATTGCCTCTGTATAAATCCATGGTATGCCCATATCTTGAATACTGCGTGCAGATGTGGTCGCCCCATCTCAAAAAAGATATATTGGAATTAGAAAGGTTCAGCAAAGGGCAACAAAAATTATTAGGGGTATGGAATGGCTGCCATATGAGGAGAGATTAATAAGACTGGGACTTTTCAGCTTGGAAAAGAGACAACTAAGTGGGGACATGACTGAGGTCTATAAAATCATGACTGGTGTGGAGAAAGTACACTTCTACCTGGATATAACGTGACCTGATATAACACGAATTCAGATATAACGCGGTAAAGCAGTGCTCCAGGGGGGTGGGGCTGCGCACTCCGGTGGATCAAAGCAAGTTCAATATAACGCGGTTTCACCTATAATGCAGTAAGATTTTTTGGCTCCCGAGGACAGCGTTATAGCGAGGTAGAGGTGTATATAAGGAAGTGCTATTTACTCCTTCTCATAACACAAGAACTAAGGGTCACCAAATGAAATTAATAGGCAGCAGGTTTAAAACAAACAAAAGGAAGTATTTCTTCACACAATGCACGGTCAATCTGTGGAACTCTTTGCCAGAGAATGTTGTGAAGGCCAGGCCTATAACAGGGTTCAAAAAAGAACTAGATAAGTTCATGGAGGATAGGTCCATCAATGACTATTAACCAGGATGGGCAGGGATGGTGTCCCTATCCTCTGTTTGCCAGAAACTGGGAATGGGCGATGGGATGGACCACTTGATGATTACCTGTTCTGTTCATTCCCTCTGGGGCACCTAGCATTGGCCACTGTCAGAAGACAGGATACTGGGCTAGATGAACCTTTGGTCTGACACAGTATGGACGTTCTTATGTTCGTAAGTCTGATTTCACTGAGGGAAAATGTTCATCTGAGTGACTGCTCTGTGAGCAGTTCAGCAGAACTCTAGAATATTCTCTTCCTGTGTCATCACTATACTGGGCATTGGCCACAGTCAGAAGACAGGATACTGGGCTAAATGGATCTTTGGTCTGACCCAGTATGGCCGCTCCTATGTTCTTATGCAGCAAGCCTAGTTCTAGGTTAGTAATAATAGTACTTACTTCCATTACCCCCACTCAATTTAAAAAAGTCTACTAAGAATTAATCATGCCAGCATTTCCCCATGTGTGGGGTGTGGACTGGCCTTTCCACTGTTCTCCAATCTCAGCTTTCATTTACATGGGTGGTAGATTAGATGCTAATGATGATACTTCAACATCAACACTGTTGACTATTTCACTGTTCATCTGGTCATGTAAGAAAGGAGAGGCCTGATATCCTAAAAAACTGCACAATCCGCTCTGAGTGCCTGCCCATTTTGGACAGACTTTTAGCACTGCAAGGCAGGATTGAATGTGGGCTGCAGTTTGTCTCATTTTCCTGAAGTGGGATTCAGCTTCCAACTTTGAAAAACTAAGTAATAAGTCAAAAAATTTGTCATTATGATTGACTAGCTGGTCAAATCAAACTAAAGGAAAACACAATACAATCACAATTCAAAAAATCATGTTCAATTCAGCCTTCTGCAATTATGCATATTTTAAACAACACATTATGGTCAAATTAAATTATTTTCTTATCCCTGCTGGCTTGCAAGTAGGTGACCTAATTTTTTATGTTCCTAATATCCTCATTCTCTTTTCTGAATTTGATTCTATATTCAAGTGAACCCAGAATTTAACTAATCTTCTCCAGAAAAGTAGGCAAAAAAATGTTAACTGCTGCAAAATTCTTTAAGCCAATTTAGCCACAATTCTTAAAGCTGATGTCGGTAGGGCTCTGCATGGGTCTCTTGGTGCATAACTCTCCACAGGACAAGGACCTAAAATCAGTGTTAAGACTTCAGCTTTGTGCTGTTTGCTTAATCTCCCACGACTGCATTACCACCAGTTTTAGCAACAGTGGGGGTGCTAGCAGAGAAGAGCGGAAAGCATTTTAATCGACATCTCATCAAGCCCTTCTCACAGCATGTTCACATGGCTTTGGGGTGAAAACACTATTGATTAGTCTACATTAAGAACAGGAGTACTTGTGGCACCTTAGAGACTAACCTAGAGGTACTCCTGTTCTTCTTGCGGATACAGACTAACACGGCTGCTACTCTGAAACTAGTCTACATTAGTACTCCATCCCACGGCTCTGCACTAGTGGTAAAACAATGGAAGAGATTTTAACAAAAAGCTCCACATAGACATTGCCACAATGTTTACTACCAAGCAAAACAAAAATCTTAGTACTATTCTGGATAAAGCAGCAAGTACATTACACATAAAACAATAATGCTAAGATCCTCTAGTATGTGGAAGAAAGAGTCAAACAGCAGTGACAGAATGAGATACACTGGTTCATAAGAGACATTAACAAAGCACTGTATGTAACATAGCATGCTCAAAACTTATGTTTCACACTAGCAACACTTACCTTGTATTCAGACGCTTCTTTACAATTTCCAGGTTCACAGGTGGCAGTGAAACAGAGGGATCAAACTTTATTTTCATGGGCTGAGATTTATGTAGAGAAGTGTCTACATTAATTCCCTGTGAGAATTAGCATTGTTAATTTTTATGAACTTGTTTTCCTCTGGAACTGTAAGTTTAGCAAGCCCAGTGATTAGAATATATAAGCAAGTTGTTGTTACTAGGTACATAATGTAATACAAATTTCTAAAAAATTAGATGTTTCCTGTGCAAAATGTATACACAGGTAAAGCTGATTATCCAGACATTTCTTTATTTTGAGCTACACGTTTTTCCTCTCCCTTCATGAACTGATAAATCCCTACAATTTCCAGGATTGTACAGAACATTTCCATCCTGAAAACTGAGATCTGGTAGGTAATTTTTTTTAATGGTGTTTTAATCCCATCTTTACAGCCAACAGTAAATATAGTCTCATTTTTCCTTTATATTTTGTTTTAGAACCACGTTGTTATATGCAAGATTTCTAGGAATAATTCATGATCTCCTCATGAGGCTTAAACAGTTAATAATATTGAAGGGCTACAGTATATAAGCATTAAGCAACAGACTGCAAATATAATAATTTATTTTTACCCTACAGTAAATGCCTAAGTAAACTCTAAATTTTGACAATAGGCGAATATATGACAGGTTCCACAATTTGAAAGTGTAAGTTGCAAGTAATTGTGACAAAAGAAGGATTTCAGCCAATCACAGCTTAGAAAAGATGTTCTGCATTCTAGGTCAGCTTTAGTTTCCAAGTTGATTTAAGGTCTAGTCCAGAGGTGGGCAAACTATGGCACGCGGGCCACATCCGGCCCGCTGGACTGTCCTGCCCAGCTCCTAAGCTCCCGGCCGGGGAGGCTAGCCCCTTCCCCCCTCCCCCGCTGTCCTCTCTCCCCCGCAGCCTCCTGGGAAGGGGCGGTCAGGGGACAAGGAGCAGGGGGGGTTGGATGGGTTGGGAGTTCTGAGGGGGGCAGTCAGGGGGCGCGAAGTGGGAGGGGGCGGATAGAGGGCAGGGGTCAGGCTGTTTGGGGAGGCACAGCCTTCCCTACCCGGCCCTTCATACAGTTTCTGAAAGCCGATGTCGCCCTCGGGCCAAAAAGTTTGTCCACCCCTGGTCTAGTCAATGTAGACAGTATCACACTAATCTAGTCTTGAAGTGACAAAGTCATGCATAATGGCAACCAAGTCTGCACCTGAAAGAAATGGTTGCAATTTCCTGGCCAGACAGAGGAAAAAATGCCTTCCCAGAAACAACTGCCATACAATGGTCTAATAGGAGCTGGGTATCCAATAATACCAGATTGTAAACATATAGTGGGAAGATAAACCCAGCATCCCTTCAATTATATCCAGATTGAGCTTTAGACAGCCAGTTTCTTTTACCTGCCACAATCTCACCTAGACTAGCTAAAGGAGCACCTACTTGGTCATCAGCACATTGAAAGTGCCATAGTTCATACTCTCTTACAAAGCCTCCCAAATGCCCATGTACACATTGAACAGAAAGAGAAACAAGATGGAACCCTGTTGAACGCCACAGGAAAGTGCCCTTAGAAAGGTTAAATAACCAATCTAGTACTGGAGGGGGGAAAGTGTTATGAGAGTGTTTCTTCCCCCATTTAACATTTCTTCCCTTATTGACAGTTTATTAGTGTAGCTTTTAGAGGATGGCATTTTAACATTTTGGTTTGTGAGTACTTTTGTTTTTAAGATCCTGCACATTACAGTAGATACTTTAGCTCAGAGTTTCATTCTCAGACTTTTAGCTGACACAGATTCTTTGCCTTTCCAAAAGTAATACACCTTTCCTTTGAGGCTAATGACAATGCTGTTCCTCTGATCAGCTAGCAATGAGAAATTGCTGATCTGCATTACCACACTCTTCGCCTAGTTCTATTCTCCTCCCACCTAATGAATTAGCAGAGGGATCGGCAACCTTTGGCACGCGTCCTGTCAGGGAAATCCGCTGGCGGGCCGGGACAGTTTGTTTACCTGCAGCGTCCACAGGTTCGGCCGATCGCAGCTCCCACTGGCCGTGGTTCGCTGTTCCAGGCCAATGGGGGCTGCGGGAAGCAGCAGCCAGCACATCCCTCGGCCCACACCGCTTCCCACAGCCCCCATTGGCCTGGAACGACAAACCGCGGCCAGTGGGAACTGCAATCGGCTGAACCTGCGGACGCTGCAGGTAAACAAACTGTCCCGGCCCGCCAGCGGATTTCCCTGACGGGCCGCATGCCAAAGGTTGCAGATCCCTGAATTAGCATGTCCAATGACCAAGGAAGAAGGAGCTCTAATATTGCTCCCAAAACAAACTATCCTGCATAGCAGCAAAAAGCAACAACAGTGAAAGAAAAAGCACATCACCTGTGGGAGTCTGACTGCTTTCTTTAGTTGCTGTTCTTCCCACATGTTTTGTATTTCATCATCTTCACTTGCTCCATCACTCTTGGGTACTGGAAGTAAAAGTAAGAGTAATTATATGACCAATAGTAGTTTTTCTATCCTTTCTGAACTCCCACCACCATCCCCAAAAATATTTGCTGCTGTTCCTACAAGTATTACTGGGAAAATGGGACAGGCAGAAAGAACAGCACAGGTGGGATTCTCAAAGTGGGATTTAAAGGCCGCAGCAGGAATAGACCGCTACTGAAAATTAAGTCCCTGAGAATATAGTTTCTTAGTTAACTGTTTCTGCAGAGCCAGGGCAAGCATAAAATACTGTGCCCTACAAACACATTGGGATATTTTATTTTGTAAATCAAACTGTATATAATCCATACTAAATATATGTAAATACAGATTGTTATTGTTCTATTAGGGCTGTAAAGCGATTAAAAAAATTAATCACGATTAATCGCGCTGTTATACAATAGAATACCAATTAAATTTTATTAAATATTTTGGATGTTTTTCCACATTTTCAAATATATTGATTTCAATTACAACACAGAATACAAAGTGTACAGTGCTCACTTTATATTTATTTTTGATTACAAATATTTGCACTGTAAAACACAAAATAAATACTATTTCAATTCACCTAATACAACTACTGTAGTGCAATTTCTTTATCATGAAAGTTGAACTTACAAATGTAGAATTATGTACAAAAAATAACATTAAAAAATAAAACAATGTAAAACAATGTAAAACTTTAGATCCCATTCAGTCCTACTTCTTGTTCAGCCAATCGCTCAGACAAACAAAAACAACGAGGAGTCCTTGTGGCACCTTAGAGACTAACAAATTTATTTGGGCATAAGCTTTTGTGGGCTAAAACCCACTTCATCAGATGCATGGAGTGAAAAATACAGTAAGCAGTATATATATATACACACACACACACACACACACACACACCACATGAAAAGATGGGAGTTGCCTTACCAAGTGGAGGGGTCAGTGCTAACGAGGCCAATTCAATAAAGGTGGAAGTGGCCTATTTCAACAGTTGACAAGAAGGGGTGAATATCAAGAGAGGGAAAATTACTTTTGTAGTGCTAATGAGGCCAACGCAATCAAGGTGGACGTCGGCCATTTTCAACAGTCGACAAGAAGATCTGAGTATCAGCAGAGGGAAAATTATTTTTTGTAGTGACCCATCCACTCCGTCCTTATTCAGGCCTAATTCGATGGTGTCCAGTTTGTAAATTAATTCCAGTTCTGCAGTTTCTCGCTGAAGTCTGTTTTGGAAAATTTTTTTGTTGAAGAATAAATTTGTTAGTCTCTAAGGGTACGTCTATAGTTACTTCCTGGTCCGGATGTAAGCGATCGATCTTCTGGGATCCAGCTCAGCGAGAGGAGTACACGGCATCGACGGGGGAGCCTGCCTGCAGCGTCTGGACCATGGTAAGTTCGGACTAAGGTACTTCGAATTCAGCTACGTTATTAACGTAGCTGAATTTGCGTACCTTAGTCCGAAGTGGGGGGTTAGTGTGGACCAGGCCTAAGGTGCCACAAGGACTCCTCATTGTTTTTGCTGATACAGACTAACACGGCTACCACTCTGAAATCAGACAAATTTGTTTACATTTGCAGGAAATAATGCTGCCTGCTTCTTGTTTACAATAACACCTGAAAGTGAGAACATGGCACTGTTGTAGTCGGCGTTGCAAGATATTTACGTGCCAGATGCGCTAGATATTCATATGTCCCTTCACGCATCCATGCTGATGATGCTCTTTAAGTGGACTTGTAGGCTCTAATTGTTTTACATTGTTTTGTTTTTGAGTGCAGTTATGAAACAAAACAAAACAAAATCTACATTTGTAAGTTGCGCTTTCACGATAAAGAGATTGCACTATGGTACTTGTACGAAAAATACTATTTCTTTCGTTTATCATTTTTACAGCGCAAATATTTGTAATAAAAATAATATAAAGTGAGCACTGTACACTTTGTATTCTGTGTTGTAATTGAAATCAATATATTTGAAAATGTAGAACAACATCCAAAATATTTAATACAATTTAATTGGTATTCTATTGTTTAACAGTGTGATTAAAACTGCAATTAATCGCAATAATTTTTTTTAATCACGATTAATTTTTTTGAGTTAATCGCGCCAGTTAACTGTGATTAATTAACAGCCCTACTATCCTCTCAAAAGAGAGTATAGAAGTGGCAACTTCATATACAAGAATTCCTTGTCAGTTTTCTAAATCATATGAGCTAATTAATCTTAGTGACAAAAAGCATTTAATTTACTATCTATTTCTTTTGCACAGTTCTGGGACAGTGAGCTGGAATCTATTCTAGCTTACTCATCAACAAAACTATTAACTAAGTTCTCATCTTATAAACCTCACTTGAATAAGGAGTGCAGGATTGGGCTCTATGTTCTAACTGCAGAATCGAGAGCCAGAAAGAACAGAGCTCAACTTTCTGATCCCAGGTTGAATTTGCAATGCTGGCAGTTAGAAAAAAACATCCTTTCACTGGTTAACCAAACAGAATGGATATGAACATTATTGAAAGTCAATGTAATGGCTACACCTTAGACCCCTTTAATCCCTCTCGAGTTACTTCTGGTGGAATTATGCCCCACTGCACAAGCCCAGAATTAGTGTCCCCTGCAGATTACACACACACCCTGCAGAATAATTGATTTTGACAGGGTGGTGAAGGGAAGTTGCAATTACACCTTTCACCCACCAGGGGCTTGTGTGGCACCCAAAGAGAGGGCAGCTGGCTCACAGGTAGGAGCAGCCAGCCACAGAGAGGGAGGGGGCAGAGGCAGCCTTCCTCACAGCACCCTACCAGTGGGGCCAGGTGAGAAGGCATGGGATATGGGTAGGAGGGAACAGAGTGGGGCACATGGTGCTGCTGGGGGAGGTCACACAGACTGTGGGGTTCAGAAGAGCTAGTTGGGGGACAGACGGGGGGCACAGGAGCTAGTGGGGTGACAACATGGAGACAGTGGCTGAATGGAAGTGGGGGTGCAGGGACACATGGAGAAAGGGGCAGCTATGCCTGGCTGAGTGAGGTAACGGGGGAGTGGGAGTGCAGGGACATACGTGGACAGTGGCAGATGTACTAGACTGAATGGGAGAGACTAGGGATCAGCCAGGGTCTGCATGGGGGAGGCTCCCCAACTCCCTAACAATCCCTCCCCCCGCAAAATAAATCTGTTCCATACTTCTCCCACCACACCCAACAACACTCCAGGTTCACTCCCAGGCTCCTTCTCAGCAATTACTTCCCTCTCCCTCAGCTCCTCCATTACCCTTGGTGCCCCCAAGCCTTTGCACTGCTTCTCAGGGGTGCAGGAAATACATTTCTGGATTGTAGTTTAAATGAATTATTACTCAAAGTTCTGTATTAATATGCCTAGTAAGGAATCTATTTGTCAAAAAATATTTCCTGAATTTTTTTGTTGTCTGTATTGTTACAGACATACTTGCTGACAGGTATTTTGAAATAAATTACCAAAATACTTGTAACTGGCATGATTATACTGTTATTTTGACAAATAAAATACACAGAATTTTAAAATATTGTTAATATCAAAATGGATAACTTGAGGGGCATGTTTTTGTAAAAAAAAAACACTACACAACTTCCTTATTCTTCAGTCAACAAACATGGCACTCCCATTCTGGCATTTTCAGATTGTCACTCTTTCAGGTATAACCACGCTTTTAAGAAGTTCACATTTTGGTCTTAAAATGTCTTAACTTGACTGAGGCTTGGTCTACACTTACCCCCCAAGTCGAAGTAAGGTACGCAAATTCAGCTACGTGAATAACGTAGCTGAATTCGACATACCTTACTTCGAACTTACCGCGGTTCAGACGCGGTCCACACGCGGCGGTCAGGCTCCCCGTCGACTCCGCGGTACTCCTCTCGTATAGCTGGAGTACCGCAGTCGACGGGGATCACTTCCTGGTTCGATTTATCGCGTCCAGACCAGACGCGATAAATCGAACTCGGAACTTCGATCCCCAGCCGCCGAACTAGCGGCTGGGTGTAGACAAGCCCTGACTCCTTCAAAAGCATGGATTCCCAAAAAGCAGGTCACGTTTAAGAAATGTGATCTTTTGAGGGTTGAAAAAGAGCTGAAGAGAAAGGAAGAGGAGCCATGGATATAATTTACCTGAAGTAACAAAAACGTGACAGTATAGCATAAAAACTAATCTACATGGTCATTACCATAGTCCAGGCAATCTACAGTATTTAAATAATGTAATTAGCTTGACTATATAAAGCTAATGGTACCTGTAGACAAAAAAGGTTTAAGCTGGAGAGAAGTCACTAGGGAAAGTCCTCTGAGCAGCATTGAAAATGATTTTGTTTACTTTAAAAAGTTTTAATAACCAAGAAGGAATAAAATGTAAAACATGAAAGTATTAAACTGGGATAGAGAAGGGAGGCAAATTAATCGAAAGGAGAAAGACAACAGGGCATAAAAGCATTTGATCAGGCTATGATAATGGTCCGAAAAATTTATTCAGCAGATAATGTAAAACAACAATGCTCTTGATAACCACTCATCCACTACAAGAGTGCAACATACATTAAACAATTGTACAAGATGAATCTGGGGGACTGCAGTATACATCAGAGCAGGGCACGGTGACTAGAACAGTAAAATCTTTGATGTAAATTATCTGACTCATAATGGTGTTATGTGGATTAGTCAACATTTATAAAGTGCTATAAAAAACCATATTACTCTGAAACTCTTAGCAGTCAAGTAACAAAACACCATTCTTGAATGCATAAAGAGTCATACTGAATAAAAATCTGAGCCAGTTATTGTGGTAGCATATATTGGACTACCTATCTACCTCCACACCACTTTGTTATACCCCCACAAGGTATTTTCCTTGTTAATCATTGCATCCACACAGCTCTGCTGAGTGGTTAACTCAAGTGCATTCTGGGCACATATCCCATGATGCAATGTTCCATCACTCAGCCCTAAACTCAGATTATTCCCATGGTGCCTGTG